GGCCGCACCGCCGGGCGGGCGCGTGGCCGGCCCCTCACCACTGCCTCTCTCCTCTCGTTCTCGGTGGACAGGATCGCGTCCGCCAGGGTCAGGGTGGAGTCGTACCAGAGCTGCTCGCTGCCCCCCAGGCGCTGGGCCCTCTCAGCCATCTTCCTAGCTTGCCCGTATTTCTTTTCTTTGTTTGCCAACCGTGCCAACAGGTGCAGGCATTTCGATTCTGCACAAGGATCGTCGAGCTCCTAAAAAAGAGGTGCGTGTTGAGACAGGACGGGGAGTGGGGGGGGAGAGTGAGCGCGAGACAGACAGAGACGAAGAGATAGGCAGAGAGACAGAGAAACTGAGACAGAGAGAGACAGAGACTGAGAGACGGCAGCCGTGGCACCAGGCCTCTGCACACACTGTCTGAGCTCTTGTCTGGCGACATGCCTGCAGTGTGAGGGCGCAGGGGCTGGGCTTGATGCCTGTGTATGTGTTAAAACCTATTCCCCTGACTCTGGAAAGCACTGACAGCCCTGGAAAGCCCGCTCCTGACAGCAGGAGGGTTGGGTGGCGGCCAGGTGGAGATGAGGGCAGCGTGTGGATGACTCTTTCGTGGGTCTGGGGGAGGCTGACAGGGAGGGTCACGGATGCACAGCCACAGGCCAGGAGACGGGACTGCGGCGCCTGTGGCATGTGGGTGTCGGCTCACAGCCCCCCACCTCCTTCAGCCACCTGTCCACCCTCTGGTCCCCATTCCTGGCCCCTGGGAGCCCCTCCGTGCCTGTGCTCCTCTGCATCCCCCCAGGGCCCACCCTGGCCGCTTCCCTTCAGCTGCCGCACGGCCTTCTCGGTCCCTTCCCAGGCCACGCTCCCTCTTGAGTCTGGTCTGCACACACCTGTCCCCCTGCCTAAGACAGAGAGCTGAATCTCCCAAGGCTGTGAAGTTTTTATACCTTTATTAGGGAGGCTTCTGTCTCTGGAGTTCTACAAAGAAAGTGCCAGCCTGTCTGGTTCTGTAGCTTTGCCTCACCCTCCCAGGGAACAATTCTGAGCCCGCCCGGAGACAGAAGCACCCGTCTGAGGCCCTGGGAGCCGCTGACGCTGCAGCTGAGCTGCCACCTGTGGGTAGGGAGGGACGCACACACGGGTGGCTCCGCTCTGTCCTGGGTTTTTCCCGAGGCCGTCCGTCCTCGTGGGGGACAGAGCCCAGGAAGAAAGCCACAGCTGAGCTGGGGGAGGAGGCAGGAGCCTGGGGCTTCCAGAAGTTGGCACTGGAGGGGCCGGGGCTGGGGGGAGGGTCCAAAGACCTGTGCTCAGGGGCAGAGCAGGCTCAAGTAACCCAGCAGACAGTAGCAGGGGCCTAAGGGGCTGAGCTGAGATCTGAGCATCCAGCTGGAGTCAAGCCTTTCTGAGGGGGCCGGGTGAACCCCAGGCTTCCAGTGAGACCCCGGAGGTGCCACAGACACCTGCAGGGCCCACACCGAGGAGCGGCAACAAAACAACCAAGCGGGTCGGGACCCTGGGGCCCCATCTATCTGCCTCTTAGAACAAAACCGAAGCCCTCGGCCTCGCCAGGGGCGCCCGTCCACACGCACATTGAGAGGCCGGCTCAGAAGCAGAAGGGGCCCCCCAGCCCAGGAGGAGAAAGAGGCTCTAACACACTCTGATGAAGGAGCTCGAGAAACCAGAGGAGCAGACAGACAAAGGACGTGAAGGACAGACCTCCGGTAGAGCTGGATCTGCACATGGGAGTTGGACGGGTGCTCTAGAACAGGCTTCAGCACAGACAGGTCCCTGCCTCCCAGAGAGAAGTGTCTCAGCGGGGGCACGGAGTTGGCGGGCTGCTTCTCGGGGGAAGGGGCCCCACAGGTGCAGTGGGCCGGGCAGGTGTGGCCTCACCTGGAAGGCCAGGTACGCCTCTGACAGGAGCAGCCGCGCAGGCTGGTACAGGTCCATCTCCAGCAGGACTTCAGCCTTGAGGGTCCACAACTGTGGGAAGGACGTTCCATCCAGGCCCCTGCCGGTCTCTTCGTTTATCTTCAAAGTCTGTAAGACATGCAGGCCCGCGGGTGCTGCGTGGGTGCAGGGCCCGTGCTGTCGAGCGAGGTTCCCCACCGGCCCCGCACCCGCCAAGCCCAGCCCCCACTCCAGTGCCCATGGCCGGGCTGTCCCCTGGGAAGTCTGTCTCTCCTCACCCACCAGGCCCACCAAGCAGTCCCGGGTGCAGGTGGCTCGCCTGTCCTATCCTGCAGGAGGGCTCTGCGCACTCCGGGTCCCGGCCATCCCCCACCACGAAGGGAGTCCCAGGTGTGGCACTCCCATGGTAACAAGTGCTCATGACCTCGGAGCATGGTGGTGGGGATGGTCATTTCCTTTACGGGCAAGCCCATACGAGGCGAGCCCACCACCGGATGGGGTCGGGGGCAGGCCGGTGGGCGCTCAGACCTCCTGGCCGCTCTGGCTGCGAGGGCCTCACCCTTTCCCCCTTCTGGTTGGTGCGGTAGCTCTCCCGGGGGGGCACCTGCTACTCCCAGCCCGGCCTCTCTGAACTGCAGCTCAGGCCCTGCAGTCCCAACTTCCCTGGGGACTTCCAGGGCCCGCAGGGAGGGGACACATCCCATCAGTCCCTGGATTTCCCAGGAAACCCGGCACCAGGATTTGGAGGCAGCAGGCAGTTAAGACAAGTCCGAGCTTACTGGCTGGAGCGGGGCCTGTCACTGCCCCCGCTGGGCTAGGAACCAAGGTGCTTCTGCAGAGAGAGGCTACCTTATCCTTTGCTACGAGGGGCTTCATCTCTGCTTGCTGGGCTGGAGTGGGGGGCTCGCTTAGTGTTGGCAGACTTTCTTCTAATAGAGGTTCCTTATTTTTCTCCTTTTTCAAGGCAATTTCTTTTCTGCAGCTAATATAAGTAGAACAGGCATTATGCCAAAGAGGAAATACAACGGCCAGAGACACCTGAACATGTTCAATTTCAGTAGTCATCAAAGAATACAAATGAAAATAGCTACAAGAAGCCGCTATCCACTCAAGTGTTTACAAAGATTTTTTTTTAATTGCCATGGTTTAGCAGCATATATGCCTCCCAAATTTCCACTCCTTGCCCATTCTCTCTTCCAGACTCCAGGCTCCTGCATCCAGCTACTCGTCTGACATCCCGACCTGGATGTTTAACACGCATCTCAAACTTACGTCTGGGCCAGAACTCCACGCCATCTGGAAAGGCAGCCCACAGGGGCCCCTGCCCAGCTCCTGCTTCTCGTGGGACGCTCCTCCCCCGTGTGCCCTCAGGACGCCGCCTCGCTCACCCGTCCTGCCCCCGCTGGCCCTGCACACGCCCGGTGCTGTGTGTCCCTCCGCCACGCAGCCCCAGCCCGGGAGACGCCCACACACGGGAGGGCAAGTGAGGAACGAACTGCCCCTGCTGCCCAGCCGTGGTGGCAGGCCACGAGGAGACGCGGCCGAGAGCAGGGCCGGTGCCTGAGCGGCGCGGCAGCAGGCGGAGCTCCGCGGCTCGGCTGACTTACCTCACCTGCTCCACGGCGCAGATGTAGGCGTGCCCGACCACCTCCTCGTGGAAAGTGGCTGCTTCCCTCAACTTCAAATCAGAACAAACTAGGGCAAGTCTGGGGGGGCGAGAGGGGCGTCAGCCCTGAGTCGGGCTGCCCTGGGCTCAGCCAACTTGATACAAGTTGGTGAACGGGAAAAGGAATGGATAATCTGAGGCTATTTTCTATAATTTGTAAAGCTAAGCCGGATTACTAGGGAAAAATAGCAGATGGCTCCATCAAATTTCAGGTAGAGCACATTTCTACACTCATTCACGAATTTTACTCCATACACATTTATAGTCTCAGGGTCATCTTTCGAGGTCAAGACAAGGTGCGGTGGGTGGGGCTCTGACCCGTTACAACTTTAAGCAAACAAGCTCTGCTTTGATTCTTGTGTAAAACAGTTGTATTGTGAAATGATTTCAAGTTTCCAGATAAGTTACACAAACACTACAAAGAATTACTACATCCTTCACCACCCAGGTTCTCTCTCTCAATTTTATATATGTAAAAATCTATTAAAATGTTATATAAAACTTTATAAAAATTGTATATATAAAAATATTTCCTGAACTACATATAAATTTTCATATATAGTTCAGGAAATAATTAAAACTTATTTACACATAAATTTTATATAAAATTTATATATATAAAATGTTTTCCTGAACTATCTGAGAGTGAGTTGAAGGCACAAGGCTCCTTTTCCTGCTTATCCCACTTCAGTGTGTATTTCCTTGGAATAATCATATTCTCTTAAGAACCAGGCAGAAATTTTAAAACTAAAAATACTATTTTTATGTTTAAGTATTCTGATTTATTTGGCTTTACAAATCTTAGGGACTTTATTACTTATATAAATCGTCAACTACAGAATTAATATTTTAAAATCTTATTTGGTTTTATATTGCTTTGGGAAATATTCACTTTAGCCACTTAAATGTCTCCCAGCTCCCCCCAAAATAAAGCAGGCGGTACCAACCGGAGGTGGTAGAGGTCCTTGAGGCTCTTGCTGTCGACCACGGAGGCTGCAATGAGTACCTCCAACTGCAGGACCGGGATGGTGAGCTCATGAAGGAACACTTTCTGCAGGGCCTCGACCAAGTGGTCCAGATAGTATAAACTGTACGTCTACATCAATACACAGCAAACATGTAAGGTCAAAGACGGGGGAAGGGTGGGCCCCCAGCTCACAGGGTCTTCCCTCCAGAAACTCTGTCCACACCGTGCCACGCGCACAGGGGTGCTGAACTAGTGTCTGTTGAGGGAAGGAGTGATGTGCTCTCTGCCTCCTGTCCTTCAGTTAATGGCTTTCAGCTTGTTGTGTGCAATTTCCTGGAATCTTCAGCACCCAAGTATAAAGATGCTCACAAGAAAAATCCATCGCTTTCGTTCAAATTAATGCCTTTGTTTCATTTCTTTATGTACACATACAACTGCTTTCAGGTTTAATATAGACAGAGATGGACTAATACCTCTTATAATGTCACACGAGGTTTGATATTCTTCAGTAGAAAAGCAGAGAAGTTGGATGAGCTATTTTAAAAATCTGCTTAAAAGCACGGAAGAGTGAACAATGCAGGCAAACATGACTGGGCCGAGACATGGACGAAGATGTGAATTGAGAGATGCGAACCCGGCACATTGGGAGACACGTGTCCTGGGATGTCTGCTGACAGAAGAGGCAGCTGAGAGCCTGAAGAGCACCTGTGACTTTTCCTTTGCAGGTGGAGTTGAGGGCCCACTGAAGGCTAAGGCCCCGACTGGGTCCCCAGAGCCCGCACCTGGGGCTCAAGGGCAAGGAAGTAAAACAGCCCTGTCAGGGGCTACATCCCAGCCCACTGGGATCTGCGTGGCCTGGAAAGCGTGTGTTTTTAACTGATCGTTCCTGGCGAGGCCGCTCAAGAAAGAGCGGGGGGAGACACAGAAATACTTATAGATTCTACAGACACTAAAAGATAATAATAGGATATTAAGGGGCTTCCCTGGTGGCGCAGTGGTTGAGAGACCGTCTGCCAATGCAGGGGACACGGGTTCGTGCCCCGGTCCGGGAGGATCCCACATGCCGCGGAGCGGCTGGGCCCGTGAGCCGTGGCCGCTGAGCCTGCGCGTCTGGAGCCTGTGCTCTGCGGCGGGAAAGGCCACAGGAGTGAGAGGCCCGCGTAGCGCAAAAAAAAAAAAAAAAAAAAAAAAGGATAGTAAGAACCACATTATGCCAATAAATTAAAAATTTTATATTAACTGGAAACATCCTAGAAAAACACAACCCACCGACATTACAAAAAAAATATAAAATCTGAAGCGTTCTGTAACTATTAAGTAAACTGGATCCATATTTTAAAATCTTCTCAAATAGATCTAGGCCCAGAAGTCTTCACCAGGGAATTCTTCCAAACATTTAAGGAAGAAATAACAGCTAATCTTATACAAATTCTTCCCAAGAAGAGTTAAAAAAGGGAACACTCTCTAATTGACTAAAAGGTCAGTGTGATATTGTGATATAATAAGACACATACCTCTGGTCTTTGTTCTTGGTTTCTGGCACTGAGCTCCCACAACCCTTGGGATTTTGTGGTTCACAAGCCCCTTTCACCCACACCTGAGTTTACACTCGCAAGGTGACTCCTGGCCATCCCTACAGACCTTCAGGATGGGGGCTGGCGGCCGGAGGAGCCAACCACGTGACGGGAGAGTGAAACCCTCAGCCCCGTCCCCACATCTGGGGCGGGGAGGGGCTGGAGGCTGAGTTAATTCCCAACAGCCCGTGAGCCGATCAGCCGTGCCCTGTCCCGGAACCTGCAGGAAAACCCTGCGGGAAGGGGTTTGGAGAGCTTCTGGGCTGGTGAACGTGTCCACCTGCCAGGAGGGTGGTGCCTGGCACCCCCCAGCTCCACGGGGACAGACTCTCCTGTGCTCGGGACCCTTCCACACCTGCCCCATGGACCCCCTCATCGGGCTGCTCATCTGCATCCTTTACAACATCCTCTGTAACAGACCAGCGATCTACTTAAGTCAAGCGTTTTCCTGAGCCTGGGAGCTGTCATGGCAAACATCGAACCTGAGGAGGGGGTCGTGGGAACCCGATTCATGGCCACACTGCATGGAGTGCAGTGGCCTGGGGACCCGACACTTGTGACCGGCGCCTGGTGCGGGAGGCCTCGAGGGACGGAGCCCTGACCCTGTGCGGCCTGCACTGACCCTGGCACGTAGTGCCAGAACTGAGTTAAATGGGGGGGGGGGGTGTCACCCAGCTGGTGTCCACGGGGAGCGGAGAACTGGCTATTGTGCGGAAACCCGCACACCTGTGGTCAGAAGCGCTGGGAGCAGAAAACAGTTCAGAGTCAGTGCAGCTTCTTACCACTTCCTGACAAGCGTGTAGTATGAAAGGAAAATTAAACACCAATTTCCTCATAAACATAGAGGCAAACACCCCGAACAAAATACTAGCCAGTTGAATCTGATGATAAATGAAACGAATAATATGTCTCAACCAAGTTGACATTATTCTGATAAGCATTATGGAAAAAAATCAATGTAATTAAAATACGGAAAGAGAAAAAAGCCATTATGTGATAGATGGAGAAAAATACTTGATAAACATCTGTAGCCACTTGTGATTAAAACTCTTAGCAAATAGAAACAAAGGAACTTCCTTAATCAATAAAGAATACCTATAAGCACCTACAGCAAACATCGATGACACTGAGTGAAATGCTGAAGCCCCCTTGCTAAGCCAGGGAGCAGGATAAGGAGGTGTCACCATCTCTGTTCAGCACCGTGCTGGTGGCAGCCAGTGGAATAAGGAGATAAAAAGCGTAATGATCGGAAATGAGGAAAAACGTTTGCGGACGAAATGCAGACTGTGTATACACATAAGATCAAAAGAATCTGCAGATCGATTACCAAACTTATCTAGAAGTTAACTAAACTGATGGCTGCCAAGGCCAAGATGAAAACAATTATTTTCCAGATTTCGTCTGGAGTTTAAAAAAATGAAACAGAAGAGGTATATTTATAACAGCAGCACAAACATCAAATACATAGAGATAAATCTAATGTGTGTCACCTCCACGCACAAAACTCAAATCCATTATCAAGAGAAGTTACAGAAGACCTACGTCAATAGAGAACTAGAAGATGCTCATCGATCGGAATATTTAACGTGGCAAAGACGTCAGTTCTCCCCCAAACCAAAAACCGATCTCGAGACTCAATGCAATCACAGCCAGAACTCCACCCAGTTTGGTTTGGTTTCCAATGGAAGCCAACAAGCTGACTCTAAAAGACACATGGAAACACATGGACAATGGAAGGGGCATCCAAGACCTTCCTGAATAACAAGGTCAGGAAATGCTCTCTCCCAAGCAGTCAAGGTGACGAACCTCAGTAGCTCAGACAGTGAGGTGTTGGTGCAGGTGTGGACGCCTGATTCAGGACAAACGTGGCAAAGAAGCCAGGCGAGCGATTTTTCAGTCAGTGGTGTTAAGACATCCAGATCCCCAGGCCGGAGAGCTCAGAACCGGATCCTTCACCTCACGGCACACACGTGAACCGACTTCAAGTGGACCTAAGTCTGACGTGTAGACGTAGAAAGCTTTGGGGATAAAATGTCATAAGAGGACATTTTCATGACCTTTGCGAAGAGGACATTTTCATGACCTTTGCGAAGGGAAACATTTTTTTAAACAGGACACAACAAGGCACTAGTCATAAAGGGAAAGTCAATACTTTTTCGTACACTGAAACTTGGAATCTGTATTCACGAGAAGACCTCAAGACAGTCAAGGCCCAGAGTGGAGGGTGAGCTGCTGTCCTAAACTGTCAAAGTGTTTTCTCCAAGACAGATAAGGAACTCCTTCAATTCAACAAGGTAAAGACAGAGGCTTAATAAAATGTGGGCGACCGACTGCACACACAGGCCACGAAAGAGGACATTCAAGCGGCCAAAAGGTGCTGAGAGGCGTCCGGCCTCACCGTAGTCAGGGAGTGTCCGGCTGAGCCCAGTGAGAGGCCCATGCCCCCCAGACGGCCAGGTGAGACGGCGGGCCTCACGGCACGACCACTGCCGAAGGCAGTTTGTCAACATGCTGTAGTTGGAGATACACGTGCTCCGTGACCCAGAAACCCCGCTGCTGGGTGTGCCCTCCAGACACGTGGGCACGTGGGCCCTGAGACATCTGTAACAGGCATGCTGGAAACAGCCCCGTGCCTTCCGTGGCTGAAGGACAGACAGGCCGTGGTCGAGTCACCAGACGGAATACTCGACACCGACGATGTGAACACAACCAGACATACAAAGCAGTGCGGAGGATTCCCGCAGATGCCGCGCTCCAGAGGGAAGCCAGCCATGGGCGGCTAGAGGCCGAGAGTCTCTATTTCCACAAGCACAGAAACCAGGCAGGTGCGGGGCTGAAAAACAGCCCCCGAAGTTGCCTGGCGCTACCCCTGGAACCTGCGTGCAGGTGTGATCAAGGTAAGGATGCCAAGCTGGGGAGGTTGCCCTGGATGATACAGGCGGGCCCCACGTGTCATCGTATGGGCCCCCGTACACGGGAGATGAGACACAGACACAGCGGAGAAGCCACGTGACGACGGAGGCGGGGGGTGGGGGGAAGTGACGCGGCCACAAGCCCAGGAGCCCCCAGGAGCTGGAAGAGGCAGGAAGGACCCTCCCCTGGGGCCTCCAGAGGGCATGTGGACCTGCCGACATCTTGACTTTGGCCCAGTGATACTGACTTTGAACCTGTGGCCTCCAGAACTGTGAGGAAAAACCTTTCTGCTGCTTTAAGCACCCGGTTTGCGGTGGCCTGTCACAGCAGCCGTGGGGCACTCCCAGGCACGGCTGAATTTCACGTTCAGGAGTGTGACCTGTGCGGGGAATGCGTGAGGAAAAGTGCCCCGGGTGCTCGGGGAGGGGGAGGGGGCTGGGGACGGGCCTGTGGGAGGGTCTATAGGGGCTTTTATGCCCAGGAGGCCTTTCTTCACAATTCCCTGAGCAGAGCCCTGTTTCTGTGCATCCCTCTCTGGTCCCACTTCACACCAGGAAGCGTCAGCTGTGACAGCGAGCCAGGAGGCAGGACACGGACACAGGCCTGGGGCGGCATCTTCAAGTCCACTCACCGGCTTCTGGAGAGTTGACCGGTTGACGGCAAAGTTGCTCTGATCCTGTTTAAATACTGATATGGCTTCTTCGGGGCAAGCGTAGGAAGCCCACTCTTCTATGCTTGCTGGTACGTCTTCAAGGCGTTTGCCAGGAGGGGGGCTTTGAAACTGCAAAGCAGGAAGCCAGGCTCTGCTTCAGGAGGTGGAGCTCGAAGCAGACACCCAGGTGGCCCCGCGGGAAAGGACGGGTCGGCAGTGCCTCTGGAGACGTGCGTGGCGCCCTCCCTGGGCTGCCAGCCTGACGGCAAGCCACGCCGGACCCACACGTGTCTCCACTTCCTGGAGAGCAGTGATGGGGGAGGGAGGCGGGGGCGTCCCCAGTGGGGACAGTGATGCGGGACAGCCCAGAGGGGTGCTGCCGCGAGTGCAGCCCCAGAAACGGGCAATTCTTCCGGTGACAAGGTGACGTGCAGCACGGGCCCCCAGTGGATGGAGACAAGGTGCTGTCCCGCCCCGCATGGCCAGGGCCCAGATGCACCTGGGCAGAGGGAGGGACCCGTTCTGGGAACGCAGACGACAGACCACGAGGGAGAAGCCAGACCCTCCCTGTGTCACCTCCTAACACCTGGGGCAGGGGGACCAGAACCACTGGCTCCACTTCCCAGCGGGGGAGACCGGACAGAGCAGCCGGGATGGCCCCGCCCCCTGCGGCCCAGCCTCTGGGACGAGGAGCCTCAAGGGCGGCTGGGGCAGAGCCTGGCCACCGGGAGGGCACGGCCACCTGCTTCGAGTCCCCGCCCTCGTCCTTGTCTTTTTCTCTGTCTTTGCTTTTCTCCTTCTGAAGCAACAACGCACGTGGACTCGCTGCTGCTGGAATTCCACTTTCTGAAATTGATTTTGCTGCTGTTAATAAAGAAACCTGGGAAAAGAAAATCCGAATTTGCAACACTGATAACAGAAGCGGGTCCCCCTCCTCCCACGCACTCAGGTATGAGGGCAGGTTGGGAGGGAGTGGCCAGGCCATGAGCCTTCCGGCGCAGAGGTGGCGGCAGTGCCCCTTGGTGGGTGGACACGCGGCCGCCCTCCTCTGCCCTCGGGGGGCTTCCTCCAGGACTCTGAGCCTGTGGGGACGCAGAGCTGACCCTTAAGAAGAGCTTGTCAGCCCCATAAAATGAATTAACGTCTCTAATGAAGAACACACTCAAGTGACTTTTAGCGGTTCTCAAAGAATCGCAGAGTCGCTGCGTGGTGGGTGGTGGGTGGTAGTGGCCTGGGGCACTTTTAAGACCCAGGACGGCCTTCCTAGTCCTTCTTGCTGCCAAAGGGTGATGGCCCTGTTGTCCCCAGCACATGGCCGGGGGCAGGGTGCAAACCTGCCCCCAGAAGAAAGGCCTGTCCTGCTGACACTGTCCCACTGGGCGGGCACCGACGGTGGGAGGTCCTTGAGAGCAAGAGTCGACCAGGAGCTGCCCCGGGGGCCCCGTAAAGAGATGGTGGGAAGGAGGGCAGCTCAGAGGCCGTGCGGAGGGGGCATAGAGAAGGTTCTGGAAGCCCAGTGGCAGCACGGTGGAAAGACAGGGTTCTGTGGGTGGCTGGGCAAAGGCGCTGGGGTGAGCCTTGGAGAGGAGGGGCCACTTTGTAGGGAGCAGCGAGGCCCTCCCTCCTCCCCTGAGTCCCCAAAGCAGGGAGGGTGCTGCTGGGAAGGAGGGGAGGGGGACGCTGTCCCGGGAGAGACACAGGACCTGTGTAAGTGCAGGTTCCCGGGGCCTCACCTGCCAGATGCGGCAGAGAAAGGTGTAGGCCATGAGGCAGTAGTCCTGGTGGCTGGCGGCGCTCGGGGTCACCACCAGGGCCAGCAGCGTGTAGGCGCGGGCCAGCGTCTCAAGCTGCCGTACATTCCGAAGCTTCGCCAGGGAGGGGGGCCCCGAGCCCTCAGCCCCCGGGCCCTCCGGGGCCGCCGGAGTGGACACATGCTCTTCTGGAAGACAGGGGCCGCTGGGTGTCCTCCCTGCCCGCCCCCTGTGCCCGCCTGGTCCCCAGGGGCCCCTGCCACCTGGCCTGGGGTTCAGACTCTTCCAGAGGGAGGCACCGCCCTCACAGGGGCCAAGGCCACCCTCAGGGACAGGCCTCCCAGGGCTCCCCCAGCGGAGACAACAGGCCCAACTGCAGGGACGCTGCGGCCACCGTCGGGGCAGTGAGGGGACGCCGCCCCAGGCCAGGCTGGGGGCCTGGGCTCCGTGATCTACTTGGAGCCTCCTGCCCACCGTGGTCCACCCCAGCTGCTCTGAGCTGGGCGTCTGGCGGCACCCAGATAGGGCTGGACCTCGAGTGGACGTGTCCTTGAGCCTCCAGCACGTGCAGACAGGAGGCGGACCCTGTCCAGGGCCCCTGAATTCTGCAGGCCCAGGAGGAGGCTGCCTCGGTGCCGGGCAAGTCGGCCCGCTGTTCCGAGGCTCCTCTGCTGCCCGGGGCACCCATCCTACTGGAGCTTTGTCCCGCCTTTCGGGAACAGCTCTCATGCCGGACCCAGAGTGGGGACCAGAGGGGCTGCCGCCCCTCCCTCCATCCATCTGGCTGGGATCCCACCACCTCCCTATCACGCCTGGGCTGGGCCTTCCTGGTGGATGAGCTCTGCTGGAGCGGGAGGGACCAGCAGCTGGGGAGGCGGGGCCCTTACCTCGCCAAGTCCACAGGGCGCTGGCCTGCAGGGGCATTGCAGGGACGGCGGAGCCCAGGAGCCCCTCGCGGCGGGCGCCCCCCCGCCCCCCGCCGCCGCCACCACACGGCTCACCTGTGGCCCCCGCGCCTGCGGCCCCTGCACCTGCCGGCTCCGGGGAGCCCCTGTCGGGCTGCATCCTCAGCAGGATGTCGATCGCCCACTCCAGGTGGAAGATGACGTCTTCAAGAGGAAACTGTTTGTGGTACAGCCATTCGCTGAATTCCATGATGTGGTCAACCTTCTGCCACTCACTCTCTGGCTTCTTTGGGATTAAACAGAAAAGGATGGTAAAGACACACACCTGCCACTCAGCAGCCCGAGGACCACACTGCAGGTGTTGTGTTCCCCCACCTCCTAGAAACAGAGGGGCTGCTTCTCACCCGTCTCTACCGTCACGAAACCACCAGGCTCGGCAGGACCTCCCACGTGCAGCGGGCAGCAAGACCAGAGCCAGGCGAGTGTCCCCGGCCTCTGCTCCCTGCGGACGCCCCGCCGCCTGCCCGCCGGACCCCTCGCGGGCCCCACGTGCCCCTCCTGCCTCCGGGGCAACGCCAGCCTGAGGGGCTCTCTGCCGGCGCTCCACCACCAGCCCCGGGTCTCCCCCGGCACTTGGAGGTATGGACGGTGCTGTGGCTCACAGGGCTCGGAGGGCAGGGAAGATGCTGCACCGTGCAGTGTGCAGCCCGAGTCAGACCCAGTAACGCTCATCAATCATCACTGCACGAAGGGAGGAAGCTGCCCCCCCCGCCCCCCCGAGAGCGGAGCCAGCCTGCCTTCCACTTGCCGGGCCCCAGGCCCCACACCCCACACCTCACGCCTCACACGCCAGGAGGACGCGCAGCCGGCGGTGAGGGAAGGGGCAGGTGGCGGTGGGACACGCAAGGTCAGTGTGGACTCTCCCCAGGACACTGCCTGACGTCACCAGGGAGCGGGGGCATCCCAGCCCGGAGTGGGGTCCTCCCCCCTCATTAGCAGGTGGGCAGAAGGGAAGGAGGAGTGGCCCTGAGCGGTGGGGCCTGGAAGCCAGGTGACAGATGACCACGAGGGCCGAGGAGGGGTCAGATGGGGCCTCAGAGTGACTGTGACCATGTGGTCATGGGTGGCTTTGACAAGAGCTGTGCGAGAGAGACGACAGGGACAAGGGCGGTGGAAGAGGGAATGGTCATCGTTTCAACAACGGTGCTGGGGAAAGCAGGCAGCCACACGCTGGCAGGAGCAGGACCCCTACCTCGCACCAGACACAAGGCTGAGCTCAAGACGGATCAAAGACTTAAATGTAAGAGCTGAAACTATGAAACCCTTGGAAGAAAACGTAGAAATCTTTGTGACCTTGGATTACACGTTGGTTTCTCAGCTACGATGCCATACGCATAAGCAGCAGAAGAAATAGGTAAGTTGGACTTCATCAAGATTATAAACTTTTGTGCTACAAATGACGTTATCAAGAATACGAGAAAGCAGTTGAAAAGACAACCCACAGAATGAGAGAAAATATGTACAAATCATATATCTGATAAGGGACTTGTATCCAAAATACATAAGGAATTCCTACAACTCAGCAATAAACCAAATTTTTTTTTAAAAAGGGCAAAGGATTTGAATAGACGTTTCTCCAAAGAAGATGTACAAATGGCCAATTAGCACATGAAAAACATGCTGCTAGTTACTACATTAGTTACTAGGGAAACGCAAGTCAAACCACGATTCAAATAGTTAAAGACAGACATCACATGACCTGGTAGTTCACTCCCAGGTATGTGCCCAAGAGAATAGCTGTAACGTGTCCGTGCAGACACTCGCACACGGATGTCTACAGCAGCCCAGTCACGAGAGCTCATAAGTGGAAGCAACACCGAGGCCCATCGGCGCAACATCCATCCACACGACGGAGGATCATTCAACCACCAGCAGTGATGCCCGGACATGCGCTTCAACAGATGGAGCTTGGATGTGACGTCCAGGGAGGGCAGCCGGACACAGAGGACCCACCTCGTCTGGTTCCATCCGTGTAACGCTTGCTCACTGGGGCCGGCGGGGGTGGGAGGAGGGACATAGTGCCCACGGACCTGGGTTTTGTGGGGCTGGTGAAATGTTCTAAAATTGATTGTGATGATGGCTGCATAACCCCGTGAATTTACTATAAAGCACCTTGTACCCCTAAGAAAAAGGAAGCGAAGGAAGGAAGGGGCAGAGAGCCTTTCCACGGAGTCTGTGCAGAGGGTTCCGGCAGCTCGGCTGGGCCAGCAGCCGCCCCGTCGATGGCACCGCCTGCTCCCCCGGCACAGCTGCCTGGCCCCAGGAACCCTGGCCTGGGCTCCAGGCGCGAGACGCAGGGGCACCCACGGCCATTTGTAGTGGGCCCAGGCCTCTGCTTGACCGCTGGGTCATGACCTCACGGCCATCGATGGAGCCTGTGTTCGGACCGCCTCTCGGGGACACCCTGACCCTGGAGCGCTCTGAAAACCTCGGTGGGATCTGCTCCATGAAGGGGAAACATTCTGCTCAACAGCAAAGTCTGTCGGGTGCCTGCCGCAGGGCACATCTTTGGGGCCGCTTCAGTCCCACAACCAAGGGGCCTTCTGTGCCCCGAGGCAAGTCCCACAAGCTCTGCATCAAATCAAGGTGCCCGCCCTCCGCCAAATCTCCAAGCGCGTCGAGAGGAACACGTGTCTTGGCTTCTCGGGGGCAGGGGTCGTCCCCAAGACCCCGAAACCCCAGAGGCTGCAGAGCCCCGCGGCCCACCCCCTGCCCTCCCCACACGGCCTCACAAGGACTGCGTCCCTCACGTGGGAGGACAGGATCCGTCTGCCGCCCCGGCTCGTGTCCCGCTGCCCCCCTCTTCCTTCCGGGCCTCCTGAGGGGCTGGGCTTCGCTCCGCACCGCCCCCCCCCCCCCCCGCCGCCTTCCCGCCCCCCGGGGGCTTCATCCGCAGACACACGGTGAGTCAGAGCCAGACCTGCAGGGCCTGGATGGCGTGGAGGTAGCAGGTCAGCTCCTCGGGGACACTCGTGGAGTTGAGGGCCAGGTGCCGCCACATGTGCGCCAGATACTCCTCACTCTGGTCTTTGAATTTCTGAATTTCCATTGCGAAGTTCTGGCCGAGTCCAGCCTTCACCATGACCATGTGTTTGAAAATCAAGCTGAAAAAAAGTAAAAGAGAGAAATTAACGCTTGAATGGTAAAAAGCGTAAATATATAGAAGGCACACAAACTAAAGTATTTGGGCGTGTTCCTACTTACAAAGAGAAAACAAAATGAAGCCTGGGTATCTTGGGGGTGTTGTGTTGTGCTGTGTTTTGTTATTTCCATTTATCATTTGTGTGTGTTGGGCTTAAATCCCCTCCGTTCGTGTGTTGACTTCTTGGTAGGGAAATAAAGTCACCAGGGGAAAGGGGAGAGTGGGGCGCAGGGGAGGGAGCCACCCTGTTGGGGGGCTGCAGGGGAAGGCACCCCGGGGGGGGGTGGTGCGGGGAGGGGAGGCGCCCTGGAGGGGCCTCAGGCACTCACAGGTGGTGCGCGATCCGCGGCAGCGCGTGCAGGGCCTCATCCAGCACCTTGAGGCAGCCCTCCCAGTCATGCTGGTCGGCGTGGCTGTGGAACAGCAGGCCGTAGAGCGCGGCCCTCAGCGTCAGGTCATCCTCAGCCCCTGCGGTGGGAGATGGGGCTCAGGAGGGGAGCCGGTCAGGGGGTCTGGGGATGGGGGTGCTAGCAGCTGGGGGTCCACAGGACCGGGAGGCCCCCAGGGAGCACTCGGGACACAGCCGCCTGTCTGGGACACCCCGGGCCTCATGCCGCAGAGCCGGACAGCAGGTGGGACCGCATGGAGATCCAGCCACAAGACCTCGTTATCTGCGTCCCTTAGACACACGCAGAGCTGCCCTTCCAGGGCCGGGCCTTGAGCAGCGGGAGTGACCCCTGATCGTGGGAAACACATCAGTCCTTTTGGGACTGAAGGCTCAGGGGCTCCTCCCGGGCGACACCTGTGCTGCTGTCCTCCCTCCCCCACCTGCCTCACCTGCACCAGGTGCCCCCGGCTGCCCCTCACCCACACCCCGCCAGGCTTTCTCGGCCCCGCAGTCCTCCAAGCCCTTTCCTTTTTGGAAACTCCCGTTACTCTTCCGTAATTTTAAAAATAAACAATGGGAGCGTCAGGAAAGAAGAAGCCTCTCCCCACCACCCTCGCCCAGGCCGCTGGAGGGGCCGCCTCAGCCCCACCGTCCACCAAAGCAGAGCCCCTGCCCCTGCCCAGGACAGACACTCAGGCTGTCCTGTTTTACCTCGTTGACCGTGTAGCTCTCTTTCCCGTTTTTGAATCGTTATAGCAAAGGGGTGAACACGCCCATGGCTCCTGCCGGCAGGTTGTCCGGCTGCTGGCTAAGAGGACAGCACCAACTCACACCACTCGGGACCTGAGGGCTCACCGCGGCCCCCCACTGCCAGCGCTGGGACAGAATACAGGTGCCCAGGAGCAGGGGGATTGAGGCACGTGACCAGATAAACTGGTCAACGTCTTGATACTTGGGAACGTGGGTTCCATAGCGTGCTTTCCTCCTCTCATCTCGGCCGGGCCAACTCGGAACCACACGCCGCGATGGCGAGGGATCTTACAGTCAGGGCTCTGCACCCCCCTGGTTGGCAGCAGGGGCACATGCCCCTGGACGTGGCAACCCCGCTTGCCAGAAATTCCAGACGGTGCCTTGGACGAGCAGGGAGAGACTGCCCGTGCGAGTTCACCTGCTGAGCCGTCGGGGTCATTTGTTACTGCAGTGTGGCATCTCGTAACCTGACTAATGCAACTGCTCGTGCATTATAGAAATGGATCATTTAGCTGCTGAATTTGATGCCAGTACTTTCCCAGTGTTTACTTTTTAATTTTCTCATTTCTCATTATTTAAATTTTCACGTATTTTGAAAGTGTGCCTCTTTGATCACTCTAAACTTTAGGCAGTAACCTTTCCTCAAAACATTGCTTTGCTCAATTCTACTTTTTCATTTTTTCCTATGGCTTGAATTGTTAAAGCTGCTAACCCATTTAGCTATCTGAGTATGTTTCAGCATGTGGAGTAAAGTGTACACGGGCTCCACGGGCTCCGGGCAGTGCCGGGACCCCAAGCAGCCAGCTCCTCACTGGGCCTTGCAGTCCTGCGGGTCTGGGCTGCTGTCTGCATCTCCCTCTGCGGCACCAGCAAACAATCTTACCTGCGGGGGTCTAGAGTTCAATTCAGTATTTAATTACGCACGGTCACATCTTTGTTCACTATTTTAAATCGGGTTTCTCTCTCTCGTAGAGTCTGAGGCACCTGATGGAGGGGCCACGGCTCTAATCCACACATCCACACTTTGCAGTACACACTGTGGCCCTTACGCTAACAGGGATGATTATTTTTTAGCAGATAATCATTTTTTATTTCAGAAATAAATTATACAATATGTTTTATTTTATTAAGGTCACTACTTTTTTTCGCAGAAGTATATCTCCACATTTTTATGGAAATGGAAAAGTGTGCTTTACCTGCCAGAAAAACCCAGAGGCTAGATTTCAAGGCTGCCTGGGAGGGCGCAGGGTGGCCCTGAACTGGGGGGCCACCTACGCTTAGGGGGTTTCCTCATGCTTACAGTGGGGGGCTCTGATTGCTCATGAGGAGCCCTCGCCCTCACCATGCCTGCCCGAGCTCAGGGCTGAGTAGGCATTTCCCGTGGTCACTGCCACGACTTCATCTGTTCTACACAAGCCTCGGGATCTAACAACACCAGGCCCTGCCCGGCCTCATGTCTGAGGCTCCGTCTGTCCTGCATCTACAAACCTGAGAGGAAACACCCTTCCGTCGTCCCTCCGCTTTGGAAGTCGGCTGTGGGCCACTGGTGCAGAAGCAACGTCTTCCCTTTTTCCTAAAGCAAAAATAAATCAACAATACAGACGTTTGAATGTTGCAGTTTCTTCTTTCACCAGTTTGTTTTTCATTTGGTTCAGCATTGAATTACGGAAACTGCAGCTAAATTCCTGAAATACTAAGTCACAAAAAGTGGAATCACATTTCCCCTGTAAGAGCAGGCACTCCAGTTCAAGGTTTACTGCCTTAAAACACATACACACATGCACAGACTAGCCCTGCAACACAGCCTATGGCTTATAATGACACGAAGCAGACAAGTCAGTTGTATGGCTTTGAGTCAATAGGATCAAAAGCACATTAGGAAAACTTATGGGACATGGCAAAAGCAGGGTTCAGAGGGAAGTTTATAGCTACAAAGGCCGACATTGAAAAGGAAGAAAGATCTCAAACCAACAACCTAAGTTTACACCTTAAGGAAACCGAAAAAGAACAAACTAAATCCAAGGTTAGCAGAAGGAAGGGAACGTTAAGAATTAGAGCCTAGAAAAAAAATAGGAAAAAAATCAATGAACCCCAAAATCGATTCTTTGCAAAGATCAACAAAATAGACAAACCTTTGGCTAGACTGGCAAAGAAAAGATGAAAGAAGTCCAAACGACTAAAATCAGAAATGCAAGTGGACTCTCCTACCAACCCCACAATGATCAAAAGGACTATAATAGGATCCTATCAGCAACTGTCTTCCAACAAATTAGATCACCTACAAGAAATGGAAAAATCCCTTGAAACACTCAAATTGCCTAAGCTGACTCAGGAAGAAATAAAAAATGTCAACAAACTTCTAACAGTAAAGACTGAATCAGTAATCGGAAACCTTCCAGTTAAGAAAATTCCTGGACCAGATGGCTTCCCAGGGGAATTCTACCAAACATTTAAAAAAAAGAATAACACTTGTCCTACTCAACTCTTCAAAAAATTGAATAGGAAGGAACGTTTCCTAACTCATTCCATGAGACTAGCATTACTTTGATAGCGGGTCCAGATAAAGACATCACAAGAAAAGAAAATTATAGATGAATACCCTTTATGAATATAGATGCAAAAATTCTCAACAGAGTAAGTTGCTGAATTGCAGATCAAATCCAACAACACGGTAAAAATATTATTCACCATGACCAAGGGAGATTTGTCCCAGGAACACAAGGGTGGTCCAACCTAAGGAGGCCGATCAGTGTAACCCATCACCCTAATAGGACGGAGAAGAAAACCACACGATCAGCTCAACTGATGGAGAAAAGGCATGTGACAAAATCCAAAAACGTTTCATCACAAAATCTCTCAGAAAACTAGGAGTGGTGGGAAAATTCCTCAACACAGTAAAGTTATGCAAAACTCACAGCTAGCGTGATACTCAGAGGTGACAGACTGACGCTTTCTCTCTCGGATCAAGGAAGGTCCCCGGGCCACGACCTACCGCACTCCTGGGCGACGGCGGGGGC